TATATATATATATATATATATATATACGTATGCATTTTATATCTATCTTACGAAATAAAAAAATCTTACAAATGAAACATAATTATATTTCTGCTTTTTATGTTTGCACAAAGTTTTGTATAGAATTGAACTTCTTCGTGAAACATCAAGATTGTGCTTTCACTCTAAGTATGTGGTGCGCAGAGTTGAATATCTTTAAATTCATAAGTCGTTCCAAATCATTTCAAAATATCAGGTACAGCTAAATGTTGATCTGTTGCTGTTGCATTGATTCGTATCGACTCACAACATGTTTGTATACTTAAAAGATAACTCGACCACTAATCCATTTATTAAATGTAGGAATAACCGAGGAACACGTGCAGTACCATGCATCCATTTCGTCTTTGTTGAGAAAAATGCTCGCGTGAAAGTGATAGTAAGAATAGAGATGAAACGAATAAGTAGAAAAATTAAACGTTTCGTTTCGAAAATTGTTAAAAATTTGATTATTTTTTGATCGATTTTTTTTTCTAATAGCACGAAAATCTCTGATTTCAAACTAGGTGCGGGTACTGATTCTGCATTACCGAGGCTAAAGACACGTGCACGTGAAAGAGAAAAAGAAGGGATACGAAAATTGCCGAACGTGGTCGAAACTCATTCTGTAGGGTCGATCAGACTGGTCGAGTATACGCGCAGCTTTATTAGTTGGTGAGCCCCGTGCTGTCAAGATTGTTCCTCTTCATCTATTTTGTACAATTTTAATTTGAAGTATCCGGTAGTCTAATTTTATATGTAATTTCGAAACTCTCGACGAATTCGATCGAGATCTTTTTTTGTTACAAAAAAAAAAAAAAAAAAAAAAGTAGAGCTTCCGAAAACGAATTCTTCTGTATTTTAATTAACAAATATTTTCTAATCGCATGTTTGTTTACTCGATGGTGCACAGAAATTTCACATAGTCAAATAGGAAGTCCTGCTTATTGCATATCACATTTTCGACGTTTGATGTTTTATTTGATGTTGAAAGTAAAATAAAGAAAAACTGACACGCATACATACTTCAATA